CCCCAAAACCCCAAAACCCCAAAACCCCAAAACCCCAAAACCCCAAAACCCCTTTCGATAAATACATTACTGAAAATAAAGTATTAGCATTGAGCTCAGAGCCGTTTGAGTATAGCAGAATTACCTCCTTCTTCTCTGATGAGGGGCTCCAGATAAAGCACTTCGATCCACTTGGCCATATAGCCAGGCCGCATTATGATCTTCTTGTGTTTGTAGTATCGATTGTTCTCCACATGAAGGTACAGGGCAAGTCAGAGATGAGCTTTCTTAATTAAAGTAGATGACTTCTTCTTTGACATGTATACTAAAATAACCAGAATCACAAAATATAGAATACCAACAAATATTGAGACTGCAACATGTAGGAACATCCAAAGTATTACACCTATAACTCCAGCAACAAAGAAGCCGAAGATCAAATAGATTAATATGAATCTGTCATACAATGCGACTTTTCCCCTCAAAGGTTTTAATATCTGGTTGATCTGTGATATCGTCACATTGAACTCTTCTCGGTCAGCTTCAGTCATGTTCAGTGTTTCCTGGCTGACTTGCTCTTCTCTGATCTCGAAGCTCGGAGAACATTCCGAGTAAGTGATCACATCAAGGTATTTGTTTGGTGGAGGAGGAAGGAATGTCAGGTCTGAGTATTTCTTCTTCTTTTCTTTGAGCTTGCCGAACCCTTTCTGTTCTTCCGACTTTGCACTGTTGTTTTCGATGTCATTGTAGTCAGCCATGGGCTTATTTATTAAACACTTTCACGATTGGGTACTCGCCCATGTCGATGATGGAGTTGAGACATCTGGGGTTAGCATCGTTAGTAGCAAGTCCAGCAAATTTGATTAAGTCATGCTCTGCATAGAGCCTCATGATGACATCTGTGCTGTAGTTTTCATTGAACTGGTAATACTTCAAAGTATTGCTAATGATTTTATGTAATGCTCTTTCATTTGGATCTTGATATTCAATGTCTTGACTTTTCTGGCTTGTCTCAGATAGAGCACTTTTCGGTCTTATTTTATTGTGATCAGAGTTCCGTCTCAAAGTTAAAGCAGGCTCTTCTGTTTTATTCTTTCCATCATTTGAGCCTAATCAGAATGTCAGAAATTATATACCTGAAGCATCACTAAAAACAGTTCCTGTAGATTGCTTGATGTATGGTCTTTTAGCTCCATAGCCATTGGCGAGTCTTTCTATTTTCATTGCATCTTCGTTTTCTCTTCCTTCATCGATGGCAAATTTTTGGTCTCTGATTACTTTCTTTGCAACTTGGAATTTGGTGTTGGAGTTATAAGGATCCTCGTCATAGTTATGGGAGTAATCTTGCTGCAATCTGTAGGAATGAGGTTGAGACAAATTCCATATGATACATTATTCTTATGCTGTTTAAATCATAGCTTCTAAGGCCAGGCTTTCCAAATTTTAGCACTTTATGAATAAATAAAATTGTGAAGCAACAGCCTCTACTAATTGTGCATCGGACTTTCGAATATTTTTGAAGTTTACAATATTTTACAGAAGTTGGTCTAAAAATGTTGAGGTATTATTAAGGCTTCTTCAGAAATTTTCAGCCAAAAATTTTAGCTAACATTTTGGACATGGCAAGCTAAAAATTGGGAATAGCTTCTGAAAGAATTTAAATAAGAGCATCTGAATTAGAGTCTTTCGGGAGCTAACTTACCTTCACATTGAGGAATGAATTTTGGAGGTATTAGACCATTGAACATCTGTCCTGTTCATTCCTGTTGGAGTGGAGTCATCCTCCTTGCTAGACATCTGGCTAGAATCAATAAACTTTAAGCTCATATTTAAAATATGTTAATGTTTTAAATTATCTTTTACTTATGGGGTTTTGGGGTTTTGGGGTTTTGGGGTTTTGGGG